CAGTCTCCAGGCTGGGGGGGGGGCACTGGCGGGGGGGGCTAGAGCAGTCTCCAGGCTCGGGAGGGGGAGAGGAACGACGTTTCCAGGCTCGGGGGCTTCTCCTCTTTCCCTCCCCCTCGGCTGCCCCCTCACCTCCTCCCACCGCCAGCCTCTGGGCGCGGGCCTCGGCGCTACTCCGCCACCATGGCTCCGGTGGGCATCCAGCCAACGCTTCCCCGCTCAGGCCAGCCCCCGGCGCAACCCCCACCCCACGTTCTCCTCACTTCCGGCCCAGCCGGGTGTCTCAGCCGGAAGTGAGTTTGTTTTTCCTCCGGGGCGGGGCGGGGCCCGGAGCGCCCAACTCTAACCTGGAGGGGCCCCGCCCGGGGGGTGGGGCGTCTTAAAGGGCCAGCGGCAGGTGTGTCGGGAGGAGCAGAGAGCAGGGGAAAGCGGGAGGGACGTAGAAGCGGCCAGGGAGGAGTGGTCCAAGGCACTAGCCTAGGAGGAGGACTTGGTTTCAATTGAGGTTGGCACCAGCCTGCCTGGGTGAACCTGGGCCAGTCCCTGAAAACGAGGAGCATAAATGGTGCCTCTTTTGGGCAAGTTTGTCCCCTCTATTGCCAGCCCCAAATCTTCAAATGAAGCCTGCAACCGTCACATATCCATGGGACTCCCGGAGCTGGGGCTTTAAGGGGAAGATTCGTGACAAAATCAGGAGAGTTAGCAACACTGACAGCTGCTAACTGACGGTGTCCCCCCCCCCCCCCATCCTGAACTGGGACAAATCCAGACATAGTTTTATCCGGCAGCAGACAGGGAATATGCCATTTTGAACATACCACTCCACCCCCACCAGTGTGACCTCATGCGCACAGTGCATATGAGGTCATGCCAGTGCAGGTGCTGCCCTTGTGGTGTGACCTTGCATGCACCCTATGTACAAGCTCACGCTGGCCAGGGGTGGGCCCACACTATTCCCAGAATGACCACTATTCTGGGAACAGGTGAGTGGCCACCCTAGGTAGGCAGGAAGAAGTGGATGAGGCTACAAGGGAAAGGGGGATGAAGGGGAAGTGGGGCAGGAGAATTAAAAACATATTGGGGGAGCAATTGGAAAGGAAGGGGAGAGTTGACAGGAGTTTGGCTGGGCAGTGACCACCTGTCCTACACTCAGGGTGATTATAACACCACTGCCATTATCTCCTACTTAGCCTGTTTCTAGCCTCTGCCACTCCAGCAACTCAGAGCCTTTCTCACAATCCTATCTCCCATCCCTGAGACAGATCAGAATCATTGCCCCCAATCTACAGCTGGAGAAATTGAGGAACTTGCTCAGAGACGGTCAGTCAGCGGCAGAGCCAGGCTGATAATACTCCCCTCTTTCAGGGGGCTGCTGTGAGGTTTGATAGTGATGCTAGAGCTGAGCATAGTGAAATCAGAGACCAAATCCTAAAATCTCGAGATTGGTTATAAATCATGAGATTTAAATAAACAATACTGTTCCACCTTGTATTTAGCAGTGACACTGTGAGTTAGTTTCCCAGACCTGAAGAAGAGTGCTGTATAAGCTTGTCTCTCTCACCAACAGAAGTTGGTCCAATAAAAGATATTGCCTCACCTATCTTGTCTCTAATAAATCACATTGGTTCTTTTTATCTGATTTTCAAGTCTGCCCCTAATTTGTGCGTGGTGATTTGTGAAGCCAGTGGCAGTTAAGGGAACTCTTTACCTCAGATGACAAGGCCTTTGGGGATGATTTATCCCACTTGGGGTCCAATATGCAACTGCCGTCTCCATGGAGCATGACTGATGATGTGTTCTGAAGGAGGAATATCATCATCCAGCTATTATATTCTTTATCTGCAGATTTCAAAGTGTTTAACAGAGGAGGCTAAGTATCATTATTCCCATTTTACAGATGGGGAAACAAACACAGAGCTGAAGTGACTTGCCCGTGGTCTGTCTCTGTCCACTAGGCTGCACTAATTCAAGTAAAAGGTGCTTTGTGGGTAACTAGTGGAGGCTACACCTAGCATTAGGAGAGCTCCATAAAGTTTAACAGCCTTTCCTCTCAGCCTTTTTCTGTAATATGCACATTTAGACCCTTACTGATAAAGAGCAGCTAATCCCCTTTTGATCTTTAGCGGCTGCCACTGTAACACTTCCCCAACTTTGAAGTGTCTCTTAGCTGCAGATGCATCCCCTTGTAATCTTGCTGTCTCAGCCTTTGATAAGTTTGCATACTCAAGGATTTTCTGTACACCACCACTGAGACCATTAATGTTCCATGAACGTATGTTAAGTTACATATTTGTTTGAATCACTGGAGTTCTAGGGGGGACAGTTCTGTTTTTTAGTGCTGTTTGAGCCTTGTGCTCTCATTTATAACGTAGCCTGCTACGCAGAGCTTTGTCAGTGTTGATTCTCTCTTAGCTCTGGCCTAACTTTTTTTTTGTGGCACTTGTTTTTCTACCTCTACCTACAATTACTTTGTTTCTCCCTCATGTTTCCTCTCCACCTGTGAGATGAGAGCATTTCCTTCTGCTGTCTATGATGTTTTGCTTCTTCAAAATAAACAAGTGAATGAGGAAGTTGGGTGTTATGTTACCTCCCTTTCAAGTCCCATTGATAGGGGACATGAAAGAGTTAGTAAGTACCTCTCTCTCCAAGATCCCTCTCCCGAGTGGCAGACTTCTCTTCATCCAGTCCTGCTGGTGAACGAGACCAGAAACGTAAGTGTCAAAATAAATAAGGCAGTCAGAATTACTGCCCTCTTTGGTTCCAGTGCTGGAAAGGAATCTTGAGTGATAAGCTACTTCTCCTATCCCATTCCCTCTGCAAGCTGTGGTCCTCTTGTTCCCTCGTAGATACAAGATATCTGCACATTACTCCAAGCAGTTGCTTGTACTAAAGGCTACCATTGCACACTGGCTCTAGTAAGCAATTCTTGCTACTGTTACAGGCTTCACACCTACTCTATTTTTTTTATTTTTTTTAAAGAGGGAGCTATTCCTCTTTATAAACTGGACAAAAACAATTTAGGTGATTGCTTAAACAAGGTTTATTGTACTACCACGGGGCCTGATTCTGAGGATGCTCAGCACCTCATAACTTCCATTGATTTAATTGTGTGTCCTCCTGGCTACACTTGCAGATGTAGAGCACTGTTAAACCTGCCTTCGGAGAGCGCAGTAGGGAAAGCGCTGCAGTCTGTCCACACAGATAGCTGCTTGCGCACTGGCATGGCCACATTTGCAGCGGCATTGGGAGCAGTGCATTATGGGCAGCTATCCCAACATGCAAGTGACTGCAATGTGCTTTTCAAATGTGTGTGTGGTGGGGGGGGGCGGGG